CATATACATATACATATACATATACATATACATATACATATACATATACATATACATATACATATACATATACATATACATATACATATACATATACTATTATAAGATGCGCAATACAAATTTTTGACCACCCTAATATATATATATATATATATATATATTGTTCGAGAATAATATTAGAAGGGACTTAAAAGAAATAGGACATGAAGACCGCGAATGGAAGGATCGTGCTCAGGGACGGGAACAATGGCGGGATTTGGTATTTGCGGCAATGAACTTCTGAGTTCCTAATGCCAATTAATAATAATAATAATAATAGTAATAATAATAATAATAATAATAGTAATAATAATAATAATAATAATGATAATAATAATAATAATAATAATAATATATATTGTTCTGGTGCAAAGCGATTATTAAAGGCATTGAAGATATGCGGAGATATAACAATGAAAGGGTTCGTGAAAAAGAAAGAGCTTAGTAATCGAGGGAGACTTTTCTCCTAGGGCATGAAAAATGCCCTCGAGAGTGGTGTGTCGGATTTTGAATGAAAAAGCTCGGCCATTCGTCGTCCGACAACCGATGGTTATCGATTTTCCGCAAACCGCGACGCAAGTTACATGATGCGTGTACGTACATGTATGTATATGCTATGTGTTGGATGCATTTAAACCTTTTCGGAATTGTATTTACAAAAATACGGTTTTTGGTATTTTTTTCGAATCGATTTTATTCTATATTTCTTTTTTTCTCTATTTCTCTTTYTCTTTCTCTTTTTAAGTTTAAGGTATTTTACAGAAAAAAAATATATAAAAAAATTCATTAGAATTATCTATGAAAGAATTAATTATTTTCATCTGTAGACAGATATTTATAAGAAAAATAAATCAAAAATATTAAATATTTCATGTTTGAAGAAATGTATTTAAGATAATTTAGATAAAAATTCATTTTGAGTATTAATGTTCATTAATTTAAAAAATATCGTTTTTCTTCTGTATAAATACGTAAAAAATTAGAAAATCGATTAATAAATATATAAAAACATCACATATTTTTATTGCTATAGTTTCTTATCTGATTTTATACGTTTCGTTAAATTTGCCTAATTTGATAAATTAAATTAAAAAAAAAACTTAAAAGCAAAAGATAAACCGTTAAATTCTAAAAAATAATTATTTTTTTGTTTGTCTATCAATGAAAAAGATAAAGAAAAAATCGTTTCGTTAAAAAATGGATTATATTATGAATGAAATTTGGAACGTGCTTTGTTTTTGTCTAAACCCTAATAATTGGGATCGATTTGGTTCGAAGGATTGATTGAAATGTAACCTATGACGAACGTCGATTAAAGTTGTAACGAACGTTCACAAAGAAAGACTAATGTAGGTGTAGGACATTTTTTTTTCTAAGTCCCTTTTTTGGTTCTCTTATAGGAACATCTATCCATCGTGGTCTTGCTAATGACTACACATTTCCAGACCAATCTCCTTCGCTATCCTAAATCGAGGACATATATCCTCGAGCTTGGGGGGAGCTTTCCCGTGCACTGTTTCTCACAGTATTTGCCAGTGAGACAAATGCTCGTTACCGAACTTTACCTGGTTTGCTCACTGCAGACTTTCATCTCGCACAAAACTTTTCACAGATTTTTCTCACCTCCCTTGAAACAACGAGTTGCCCCGTCTTCCCCCTCCACCTCCCCTCCTACAAGTTTCGAAACCTTTTACCTCTACACCCGATGTGTATATTGCCACTTTTTTTAAAATCATTTACGTGATAAACTAGAATTTAGAATGCTATTATCTTACAAATATCTCGAACATATTTTTTTCTGTTTCTTTTTTGGGGGGAGGGGGTTTCTTTTATTTTATCGTTCAAGCATGCCTTTCTTTATATTTAAATATTTTTCTTTAATCTTCACGATTATTCTGTTCATGTGATTTTTCTTTTTCTTTTTTCTTTTTTTTTGATAAGTTTTATTTTCATAAATAATACGCGTCAATTCATATTAGGATATATATGTATATATGATTTATTTTAAAATCTTTTACTTTAAATTATTTATTTTATAAAATCATTTTTAATAATTCTCATTTCGAAATAAAATAACGCATCAATTCAAATATTCATATTGGAATATCGAAGTAAATTTAAAACGAATATTCATACGATTTTACGTTTCATCCTTTCCAAAATTTCAATTCTTTTTAACGATGCTTATTACAAACTTTTATTTCCTTTTAAAATGATGTATTAATATAAAGCTATTAATTTCAAATTATAGGTAAAAATCTTGCAGGGTTTATACATAAAATTTCATACACATTGATTCACAATATTTTATTTGAAGTCTAAATTGACGTATATTTTTTGCCGTTTTATTTTTTTCCAATATCTAAATTAGTTACGAATGAAAATTACGAGGGTGAGTCGAAAAGTTTTGAACCATGAACTGTAACAAAAAATAAAATAACCTTTTTTTATATATTTTCTTTTTTAAATAAAAGTGATAAACACACACACATACACACACGATTGATAAAAGATATTGTTGCTATGTTAAATTCAAAACATTTCAATCTTCCCACGTACTTAGAGTAACAAGTTTTGAAATGAACCCATTACATGTATATTATATTAATACATATTTTATTTTATTTTACTTAACGATATACGATAATAAAACAAAAATTGATATTTTTTTAACAAATAAATGAAAAAAAAAATAAATATCAATTTTATCTTGTCTTATCCATCAATAATTCAATAATCGATTATGAAAGTCACGAATCGTTACGAGATACGTGATTGGCTATATTGAAATACAATCATAAAATATATATAATTAATATTTTCAGTATTTCAGCTTTCCCGAATATAATACCTACATATATACGTATATATGTATTAATAAAAAAAAAATATTTTCAAAGAGCATACTCAATAAATTAAATAATCTATTTAACAGACTAAAATATATAGAATCTATCATAAGAATGGAATTTAATTTAACAATTTAATATCTGATGATTCTTTATATAATACTATATGACTTTTAGCCAAAGTAGTAACGTTATGAAAGTTTTACAGGAGATACGAAAAAGAACATAACAAAATAGAACAGAACAGAACATAACTAAACTGAACTGAACTGAACTGAACTGAACGGAAAAGAAGAGAAAGATGGAAAATTCGTTTATCGTGTATTCGGATTACACTCACAGGAGACAGCGTGTACATACTTTGTGAAGTGTAGATGGGATAGATGGAAGAAAATGGAA